CGCGGTCAGCTCGGCCGGCAAGAGCGGGCAGTTTCCACTGGCACCACGTAAAGAGCGGACGTCACCGCCTTCTGCTACCTCCGAGAACTTCTTCTTCTTCTTTTTCCTAACCTTGTCCGACTGGTGCAGGGTCCGTTCTTCTGATCGACAATCGCCACTTTGCTCGATCTAGTGCATCCTCTCTGCGGAGGTTGGCCACTTTCATGTCCGCATTTATGGTGTCCTGCCAGCGCTGTTTTGGCCTTCCTCTCGGCCGTTGACCATCAACTTCAAATCGATATGCAACAGCAGCGATGGTATCACGCTCGGCTCGCAAACGTGGCCATACCACTGAAGCCGCCTCTCTTGCATCTTCTCGGCGATCGGGCGACACCCATCTGGCATCGAATCACGTCGTTACTGATTCTGTCGAGTCGTGAAATGCCCATTGACATCCGCAGCATTCGCATTTCCATGGCGTGGAGTTGGCGCTCGGCACTTTTGGTTGCTGGCCAGCATTCGGATCCGTACAGTGCCACGGGTCGAACCATGGTCCGGTATATCTTTGACTTGAGGCGAAGAGGCATGCGCTTATCACATAGCACGCCAGTGATCTCTCTCCATCTCATCCATGCCGCGTTGACTCTCATTCGTATCTCATCGACACCTCCTGTACTCTGCAAGCGGGACCCTAGGTACCTAAAAGACATTGTTTTCGGTAAGTCTTCGCCTTCCACTTTGATCGTGCCTTCGCTAGGGTCAGTTTCTAAGTATTCCGTTTTCCTGATGTTAAGACGAAGGCCATACTGGCTTAGACGCTTATCTAGTACCACTTCGTAACCTCAAAATTCCAAATCCTACAGAGAAATACCGACAGACAAGACTTTACAAAATGCCATCCCATAGCAATTTGAGCCCGATGAAAATAACCAACTATGCCCTCTTGCTGGTTAAGTGAAAAGCATCACATGATCCATTTCTCTGATTGTGATAAATGTATGCCATTGGTGTAGCTGATCTCGTCGCAATCAGTCGAAGCAGCGTCAGGAGGAGTGGAATGCGCCCACTTCGGCTGTCTTTTCTACCAATAGGATCGATTCAGGAAGAGAACAACCATTGGCAGAAAAGGCCGCAGCTGGGCCCATTACACGCCTTCTGATTGACTGCGACAATCACAGGAGTACCTCCTAGATACTTACTGTTTGAGTTCACTTACACGATACCTCTTTGCCACTTGATGTTGAATAATGCCGAGACAGAAATTGACTCACATGATACATTTATTCGGATTTGTATAATAAATATGTTGAATGAAACGTCACAAAGACTACGTTAAGTCGTTTCCAGTAATAACTGAATTTCTGAGTGGAATGAACTCGGACGGACTGAGGGAGGAAAGAGCGATAGGAAATAAAGAGGGGGAAATGGGGATGAGCAATAACGCGAGTGCACTGATTAGAGAGCTAAGTTGTATGTACAGGGGATGTAAGGCGCAACACTCGCGTACTGCACAATAAATGAATCACTTTATGATGATGACGAAGAGCAGGGTCAGAATTGGGGCAGGAAATTCTGATTGGAGCATAGTTCAGACGATTCAGCGGAAGTCACCAGTAGACAGCGTGAATTATTTAGAAAGCCAGGTGTGGCAGCCGATAAGAGGAAGCCGAAACATGATCATCACACAAACACTGAGGACTGAGGAGCCATGATAACGGCAGTAGAAATAGGCCACATTCAACAATATGAAAACACATACAACACTTTCATAGAGGCCTCTTTGTTGCCTACTGAATACTCCTTTTCCTATGAGATTTAAAGCAACTATCGGCTCCTATAATCGAAGCACAAATGGGCGGGCTTAAACGGCATAAAACTACTTAAGAGATGATCAATTCTCGTACTCAGTAAAACACTTACAGATATATGTTTGCAAAGAATGGACAACACACGAAGAGCACCGCGTTCAACACCAATACGCCAAAATGCGAAATAGCGATGCGACATACGCACACATCCTTACACAATTAAGGGAAGTAGTACTCAGATCTAACATCTATCGACGAGCCAATTCCATTCGAAAAGCTTCGATGATGTCTTGCTTCGCTTTATTAATTTCTAAGCGCACCTCAACCATAAGATCAGCCTTAAACCTGAAAAGAAATGAGGTCTGTTGTTGAAAATCCATCAAACTGCTGCGGCCTCCCTTTAGTTTTTTAAATGCAGAGCCCACGATCACTTGTAATCAGCTGAACACTTCGTCTAAAGGGGCAGTGTGAACTGCAGCGAACAACCCTGTATACGCAGAGTACAGCATCGTTGTGTGAAGTACAT